CAGCTTGGCCGCACTCTGCATGGACGCAGGGGCAGATGGCCCGCTAGGAGCACTGCAGGAGCGTGGGCTTCCTGGGGCTGCTGCTGGCCCTGGGGGGCCATCGGGCAAAGCACCCCGGCAGGCCTGAGGCAGTGCAGGGCGGGCCTCCAGGGGGGTCCTGAGGAGGTGGCTGCAGCTTTACCCCACAGCTTCTGCACCATCCCAGCCAACGTGGACCTTCAGAGAAGATGGGTGACAACAGCACAACTAGGCAGTGACTTTTGGGCTGCCTAACTTCTTGGGACCCCCCCAGAAAAGGCCAAAGTTCACATTCTCTGTCTAGCTCCAAAGCCTTCCCCAACCAGACAGGCAGGGAAATCTCACCCGTAAGCACCCTGACCCTCACCTGGATCCCCGTACCCCCAGCAGGGACGCACGTCCACCACCCAGGGACAGAGCATTAGTTTTGATCCCCAGTGGGGATCGTCCCTCCTCAGCTTTCCTGAGGCTCACGGTTTGACTGCTTGTCAAGGGGTCCACCTCCCTCCTGGTCCCCAACAGGCAACTTAAATCCACACTCAGAACAGCCAAAGCAGTAAGGAGAGGGTGGTGGGCTCCAGATGGAGGTCTGCAGCAGGACAGGCCCAGATACGCTGACCAGCTCTGGACCGGACCCAGGGCCCAGAGTCTGTCTCCCTGCCTGTCCTCACATGGATCATTCTCGGGGATGTGTGCCTCATGGTGACAAGATGGCTCCAGTGATTCCAGACATCACATACAGATGTCACAGGGGTTCCCTTGATGCCTTGGCTGTATCCCTCGTCACTCTGGAAATCACATGTCTGTTTTTCTTTTTCCCAATCTTCCTTTCCCTGATCTCTCCTCCCCGATCTCATTTTCTTCGAATCACCTCTTTAACAGTCCCCTGTTCCCACTGATGGGCAGAATCACAGCCTTTGGGACAAGAGTCCCTGTGTCGCTCTTTTGCTAGCAAAGCAATAAACCGGCTTTTTCCTTTTTCTCAAACGGTGTCCTTGTCACCAGACTGGCACTGGAGAAGGGGAGCGAGCTTTGGGCCACACAGAGGCCGCCGCCACCATGGACAACACGGCTGCTTCTTCCTCGCCTCTCGTCGTGGGTGAGGAACGCCCCAGACTCGCCCTCACTCCCTCGGCCCATACCCTGGAGAGGCGAGTGGCCCCTAGGACTGGTCTGCCTTCCAGGGCTGGAGGTCCAGGGCCGCCTCCTCGAAGCACCCGACTCACGGGAGCCATCGGGGCCCGAGGAAGGAGGAGGAGGAGCAGCGCCCGGTGCTGGCCGCAGCTGTGCTCCTGTTTTGTGCAGCCGGGAGGGCGGCGGCAGCCCCTCTGCTGGCCACATCTCCGGTGGCGCTCTCCACCGCAGCCTGTGGTCCTGCTGGTATCTGAGCCGGAGCCTGGGGAGGACCGCTGGCTCCTCGGATTCCTCAGCCGACCCTGGGTGCCCACCACGTGCAGCTGGCCCAGGTGCCTCTGCACCCCTCTTCCCTCCTCTTAGCCAGGTCTGGCCCACCCACCTCACAGCCTCCCCCGCACCCTCCAGGTCACCTCTGCAGAGCTCCAGCCCTGCCTCTGTGCCTCGTCTACCCCGTGCCCCACCAAGCACCACCCTGCTGCCCTCTCAGGACCAGTCCAAACTCCACTCTCCCCAGAAGCGGTGGACACCACCTGTTTGACCCGGATCCTCCAGAGCCCTTCCTGCCCCAAGACCTGGAAATCCGTGCGGCTGCTTTGTGAGGGCGACAGGACTGCACCCCAAGCACCTGCCTCTCCCACCTGCGCCTCACCGGCTCCCTGTGGGATTCCCTGACGCCCCTGCAGCGGGCCTGCTCACCTTCGGGGAGAAACCGAGGCTCAGGGAGGTCAGGAGCTCACTCCTCGCTGCCCCCTTCAGACTGCCTGGAAGCTCGGTGCCCTGAGAGCCAGCGGTGACTTGGAGCATGAGGGATCCAGGAGCCGCCCGATGGGGCCCTGTGGCCATTCCCAGGATGCCAGCTGGGGCTGCAGAAGCTGCTGCCTCGGAGGCTCCTCTTGGACCAGGGAGGGTGGCCTTAGCTCCTTGCCACCCAGACCCTCCATGGGAGCATCCTCAGATGCTGCCACTGGTGTCCCCGCCACGTGCATGACCCCAGCTGCTGAGGGGTCTGAAAGTCTCCCCTCCTGCAGCGCTCCTGGCTTGGGCCACAGGCGGGAGCAGGTCTCAGGCCTGGCCGGCTGCTGGCCCTTCACCTCTGTCCCACCATGGATCGCAGGAGGCCTCTGCGAGCTTCCAGGGCTGCCCCCCCCCCCGCCTTCCTGCAGGACAGCCCTCCCTGGTGACCCAGCTCCCAGAGCCCACAGGGCAGGGCCGCGTTGGTGATGTGAGCCTGGCTCCTCTGTGAGCAAGCCGGGCATCCGTGGCCTCCGTCAGGTGCAAGGTGGGATCCAGACGCAGGCTGGGCTCATTAAGCTGGGGGAAAGGAGGAGGGGAGGAGGGGAGAGGGCACCTCCAGTCCTCCCCAAGCCCCAGCAGGGAGGGAGTCCTCTGGAGAAGGCTGGAGCCCTATGAGACGAGGGGGACTAAGCATTGGGCTGTTGGGGTGTGTGAGGTGTTGGGGTTGTAACAGTGGCCACTCTGGGCTTTGGGTGTAGCCCAGGCTGCTCGGCCACGGCACCTGAGTTTTAAAATGGACGTGTTTCACCTCTTCCTCTCCCCCTGCTCCTCCCTAGTCTCAGGGAAACAGGTCGCCTTTCTTCCCCCCGTCGGCAGAGCTCTGTCCCTGAGCACACACCCACAGGACCCCAACGATCCAGACTTTGGGTTTGGCACCAGAAGATCTCAGAAAGACTGTCCCCCACATTAACACGGGAATCACACGGCAACAGTGGACCCGGGAATGTAGCCTTTGAGCCACCTCTTTAACAGCCCCGGGTCCTGCTGATGGGCGGAATCAGCCTCTGGGACAGGAGCCCCTGTGGGTCTCCTTTGCTGGCAAAGCCACAAACCTGCTCTTTCCTTTTTCTCAAAACCCTGTCCTCGTTGTTGGATAGGCAGCGGGGACAAGGACTGAGTTTTCGGCCACAGGGTGATGGGCTGTGGGTGCTGGGTGTGTAGGGCATCTGGGGTGTGGAACTCAGCTGCCTAAGCTCAAGTGGGCTGAGGCTGCACTCAGGTCGCCCTGAGAGGTTGGCCTGTCTCCTGGACAGCAGGCAGGGACCGTCCACACCTGTGGCAGCCAACACTGCCCTCTGGCCACGGAAGACTCTTCCCCATGTTTTCCATCTGTTTCTTGGGCAAATGCCTGGGCTGCATTTGGACTGGCGATGCAGGGGGCTGGTCAGCCTGAGGATGGTCCATGGACGTTCTCTGACAGCAGGGCGGCTGGCATCACAGCCTCACTGAGGCCTGCTGTCCTCCACTCGGCTGCAGCTGCCTCCAGCAGCGCCACGCGCTCCGCGGCCTGGGTGCCCAGTTCTCCAGAGGTCCTTTCTTGGTGCCCTGCTCTGCTCTCTGTTCTCCTCCCTGAAACCCCGCCATCTGCAGGCGGTGCACCCGGACACGCCTGGTTTCTGGCCCTTCCACCAGATTTCCACTCGGGCACCATGTTCTCCATCCCATGATCCCCTCCGTGTCCTGGGGACATGACTCCAGGGACATGGCACCTCAGCTCTGAGGGCATGATCAGGGTCTTTACCTTCACTGGGCTGGCCCTGCTCCCTGCAGTGGTTTTTGCCAATGGTTGTAGCCTACGTCTCATGTGTCAGAGGCTGTCCTCAAACGTCACTCCTTCCTGACCACCTGAGCTCATAAGCAACCTCTGCAGTGCCCATCGGGAGAGCCCAGGGCACAGATGGGATGGGTCTTACTGCACCCTCTTGCAGGGAGCCAGGCCATGTGGCTCCCTGGGACACCCCGTCCCCACCTTGACCAGGGCCACCATCCTCAGCTGTTGCAGTGGAAGGAGCAGGTTCGAGCTGTCCCCAGCCCCACGCCACCTCAGTGCACAGCTGAGCTCTTCAACTTCCCTGGGAACCACGAGTGGGGACTGCAGAAAGACATTTAAGCCCAGGAGTCCTGAGCTCCAGGTGGCCTTTGTCCCAGTGGTAGACATCGCTGTTCCTCTGTCCCTCCCTCTTGGTCCTTTTGCACCCGTCAGCCTGCCCAGTCCCACAGGAGGCAGTGAATCCCCACCCAGGCCCAGCCTGCGGGAGGCATGGCTGAGGCCTGGACTCCATCCTTTCTGGATGACACCTCGCGGGATGGGAACAAGGGCCTCAGAGGCTGGGGCCCAATGTGACAAATGCCCTCCAGACCCAGCAGCTCCCTCCAGATGGTCCTTCGACTCCTGAAGCTCCCCTCTGTCCCCCCCCCCCCCAGAAGGTCGGCAGGGACAGACTTTGCTGCACTGAGTGCACAAGTTTCTGCAGGTGATCTCCACCCATGCTGAGCCAGCACATGTTCGCGTTATCTTTATTTTACAAGAAAGTCAGGGTTTCGGCTGGCTGGGTGGACTGCTATGACCAGCTTTCCCTTACTGACAGCAAGTGAAGATGATGCCCTGGTTCCTGGCCTCTTTGAGGACGGTCTCAGATTCTGGTCTGTTCAGAACTGCCCGCGGAGCTTACCGCCCAGCCCCCAGCTGCACGCCCGGGGAGCCCAGAGGTCTGCGTTTCCCCCAGCTGGTCACTCTGATCTTGAGGAGCTGAGGTCCTCAGACTGTGGTCCATTAAGGCAGCAGCAGATACTGTGCCGATAGAAACGAACACGGGTGAAAACCGATACCACCAGCTGCCCAGAGCCCCTGTCGCGGCAGGTTGGCCAGACAGCGCATCGAGTGACAGCTGGGCCGGCCTGCCCCAAGAGCAGGGACCCGCCGGAATGTTTAAGTCCGGAACCCGCTGTGGCAGCGCCACGCCCGGGGGATGAGCTAGGGCGACGGACGCGCCGCACCAGGGGACGCCATTGGACACCGGACTAGGTTCCGGCCAGACCTGTCGACCCTGTGGGACCTCAGAAGCCCCGCCCGACCCCGTGACCCCGTGACCCCGTGACCCCCGCCCGACCCCGCGAGCGCCGCAGAGCTGCTAGTCGTCACCGCCCAGGTGAGCGCGCGCGGGGGCCTGTGCGGGAGCGGCCCGTCTGCGCAGTCCAGTGGGCCCCCAGGCCCCGCCGTCCCTCTGCCCCGGGGTCCGCTGGGTCCCCGCCGTCCCTCTGCCCCGGGATCCGCTGGGTCCCCGCCGTCCCTCTGCCCCGGGATCCGCTGGGTCCCCGGGGTCCCCGCCGTCCCTCTGCCCCGGGGTCCGCTGGGTCCCCGCCGTCCCTCTGCCCCGGGATCCGCTGGGTCCCCGGGGTCCCGCCATCCCTAGGCCCCGGGGTCCGCTGGGTCCCCGGGGTCCCCGCCGTCCTCGCGCCGCTGCGCAGCGAGCTGTCCCCGGGTGTGGGCGGCTGCGGCTCGGAATCTGCGGGAAAGGCCGGAGCGAGGGCAGCGGCCGTGGGGGCTGCGCTGGGGTCCGGCCACCGCTCTGCTGCGACCCTGCCTGCGAGGTGGCCCCCGGCGGCTCCCCGCGGCCCTGGCCTCTGAACCTTCTCTGCACAGAAGACTGAACCCTGAGTCCGGGGTGGCCGGAAGCTGACCCTTGCAGTTGGCGTTTTTAAATGACATTTTACTTCCCAGATGGATGTGGGTTCCCACCGCGGGTTTCCCTTTGGGTTTTGAAGTTTGAACTGCGCGGCTCCTGACTGGAACCGGCTGTGATTCGGAAAGCAGCCCCCAGCCACAAGCACTGCTGCAGAGGAAGACCCTGTGCTGCAGCCCCCTCCCCATGAGGCCAGGCCTGAGGACTGCTGGGCCACCCTAGTGCAGGGGCCGAGGGGCAGGCGCAGGTCCCCGGTGCCCTTGGCCACCTTGTTTGCATGCAGGTGTCCTGATCAGTGATTTTTGTGGGCGGGCTCTGAGGAGCACCATGCCCCTCTGGGGAGTGGCCCGTCTCCCATCTCGTGCCCCCACTTGCTCACACGGCTTCTGAGGCAGATCCTGGTGTCCAGTGTCACTGGTGGGAAGTGAAGGTTCAGGCAGGTGCAGAAAACCAGGAGGACAGGACAGGAGGCAGCCCTTCTGGTGCTGGCCTGGCCTCTAGGCCTGTGTCCAGATGGCCTGGGTGAGGCTGCTGTTGGTGCACCTGTGTCCAGTGACCCCAATCCTCCTGCTCCTCAAGGTGCTGTGGCCTCACTCCTGGGCATGGTAACATTGCCGGCCTCGGGCTGCTGGGGTGCCAGGGCTGTGAGAGCGCCTGGCTGAAGTGCAGGTGTCCAGCCCAGTCAGCACTGACCGCGCTGGTGTAGGAGCCCAGGTGGAGGGCCCCGTGCCTGAAAGGCAGGTTCTCTGGGAGCCGCTCTCGCTTTGCACCGAGGTGTTTGGGAGGACAGGGCTCATTGGAGGCCAGCTGTGCTCCTTCCAGATGTCCTGGAGGGGTCATTGCATTGGAGGAAGGCACCTGAGATTAGAGGGGCTGAGAGCTGGCCTGGAGGGGCCGGTGCCCTGTGTCTGAGAGGAGGCTGAAGTGGCAGCTGTCTTCAGAATTAAGGTGACCCAGCAGAGCCTCACCCCTGTGTAAGCACAGCCTTCCACATGGACTTCCCTCGGTCCCAGTCCTCTGGGACCTATCCCTGGCTGCCTCTTGCCCTGTCCTCCTTACAGGAGCCCCTCCAGCCCTGTGGGAGCCAGATGTCCCACTGTGGTTCTCGTGGGTGGCCAGGGGCTGTCAGTGGCAGAGGTGCTGCCAACCACCTTCAGGGCCCTTGGCTGGGGCTGGGCTTGGTGTCCCAGGAAGCAGAGTGCTTCCACACAGTGAGGCCAGTGTGGGCCTCTAGTCTCCCTGACGGTGGGGGAGTGACTGGGAAGGTTCCAGTGACTCCGTCTGACTTAGGGTTGAGTGGCTTAGAACACATCTGTAAAGCAGGGTTCAGCATGGCTGTCCTGTTCCCTGAACCAGGGGCAGAGGGAGAATCCCAAGACGCTGAGTGTTGTCATCATGTCCAAACACTGCTGTTGAAAGTCCCCCAGCACAGTTGGGGTGCTGCTCTGAGAGCCACAAGTCACTGCCAGGTGGAGTGGCAGAGGCAGAGGAGGCTCCCCAGGGGCAGAGGCCAGGGCAGGAAGAAGCTGAGGAGCAAGGGACTTAGTGCCAGGGAGGGTGGCCAGCTGCACGGGGACAGTTTCAGTGAATGGTAGCAAAGTCCAGGATCACGGGATCTCTTGGCTTCCACATAAGCCGTCTTCCATCTGAAGCCACATGGACAGGCGCTGGCCTCTCAGTGGGTCTGGAAAGAGGCGCAAGTGCCTGTGGGTGGGTCCCCTGGCACCTCTTGAACTGGGCAGTCCCGCCCCGCCTCCCAGGGGCTTGGGTGTGTTTTGTGGAGAGGCAGAAGGAGCTTCCAACTTGAAGAGACCGGCGCCTGCCAGCCGGGTGAACTTTGTTCGTTAAAGCCCTGCTCTGCCGCCAGCTCCCCACGCTGCCTTTGGGGTAGGTTGGAGAGAGCCCCTGTGCCTGCCCTGAGCTGGAGGAGCCCCAGCCGTCCATCCCATGGTGGCAGGGCCGCGTGGCCTCCCTGGCGTTTCTGCGGGCCACCTTGTGTGTCGGGTCCTCCCTGCTTCTAGGCTGTCGCCTGGCTGCGTCACTGCTCAGAACCTGCCGTGGTTTTGAAAAACCCTCCACCGCAGAGATGAAGTGGAAGGCCCAGGTGCTGGTGTCCGGGGGACTGCCTTCTGGCTGGAAGTCCAGGGCCTCTGGGCGGGTCTTCAGAGATGTCCCAAGCTGTGCTGTGGCGAGGCTGTGTTGACGCTGTGCCCCCCTCCAGCGCAGGCCGTGACCCCTGGAGGATGCTCGTCAGTGCCCTGCTACGCTGTGAGAGACTGCCCTTCCCGCGCCTGGCCTGGGCCTGGGCCTCCTCCTGGCCGACTCCCGGGAGACCCAGAGGAAGAGGCCTCCTGCACACGCCCCCCACAGCCCCCTCAGACAGGACTGCCCCTGTGTTTACCCGTGCCCTGGCCTTTGGGGACAGGCTTGCCCTGGTGGATCAGCATGGCCACCACACCTACAGGGACCTTTATTACCGCAGCCTTCGCCTGTCTCGGGAGATCTGCAGGCTCTGTAACTGTGTGGATGGGGACCTCCGGGAGGAGAGGGTGTCCTTCCTGTGCGCCAATGACGTCTCCTATGTCATTGCCCAGTGGGCCTCGTGGATGAGTGGCGGCATCGCGGTCCCCCTGTTCCGGAAGCACCCGGAGGCCCAGCTGGAGTACTTCATCCGGGACTCGCGGAGCTCTGTGGTTGTGGCCGGCCAGGAGTACGTGGAGCTGCTGCGCCCAGTGGTCAGACGGCTGGGGGTCCCGCTCCTGCCTCTCTCACCTGCCATCTACCTTGAGGCAGCAGAGAAGCCGGCAGAGGGGCAAGGGCAGGGGCAGCAGTGGGAGTGGGAGTGGCGAGACCGGGGCGCCATGATCTTCTACACCAGCGGGACCACAGGGAGGCCCAAGGGTGCTCTGAGCACCCACCGCAACATAGCAGCCGTGGTGAGTGTGCTGCGTCCTCCCATGCCATCATGATGGACCTGTGGGTGAGGTCCTTTCTGTGTGGCGTGACTCGGGCCTCGGGGTCAGGGCCTGGAGCTGAAGGCAGGAACAGAGTCCAGGTCTGCTCCTCTCTTGGCCCTCCAGTGCTCTGCAGCCTCAGCCCCCATGTGGGCAGAACGTGGGCTGTCCCCTGCTGGCCTCAGACAGCGGCCGTGTGCACGGTGAAGTGCCAGGTTTCTGTTCTCGCGACTAAAAGGCTCAGGGGTCACTCCAGTTAAACTGGGCTGACTGGGCTGCACGAAATGACCACAAGAGACACAAATACCTTTTCCTTTGGGGTTGCTGTGACGGCTCCTCTGACCTTAAGGGTCCGCAGAAAGAGAGAGAGAGCACGTGCTGACCCCTTTTATTGAGGAGAAGCTATCCAAATGAGGCAAGGGGTCAGGTTTCAGGGGGCTGAGAATCTTCATGATGTCCACTGTCAGCAGGTTGACTGACACCTGGGTAGGCCAAACCCAAGGGCACAGTAAGAGGAGGGGACACACACAAGGCACTTCCATGGAAGATTCTATCCTAAACAGGGCAAGGGGTTATATTACAAAGGAACAGGTGAGCATAGCTCCACCCATGGGGCTGTAGCAAGACACACCCATTTCTGTGACTGAGCGCCTCAGCACCCAGCTGGGGAGTGTAACTCAGTCACCCATAAGGTTGGCCTCCCACAGTGAAGCCTCGTGCAGCGGGAGCAGTAGGATGGGGCCATGGCTGTGGGTGGCTGGGCAGGCGGCAGGAGTGCAGCCAGCTCTTCTGGAGGTCTGTGTGGACTACTCTCCAGGCAGAGAGGCCAGCAGGTGTGCAGGGACTCACAGGGGCTCGGTCCACAGCTGCTCAGTAAGTCGGCCATGCCTGCCACGGCCAATGGGGTGACGGGCCCCGCAGAGCTCAGTGCAGGCCGTGGTGGTGGCTGTCCCTGTCAGGCCTGAGCTCTGCCGTGGCCCATGGCCCAGGCCTGGACAGGGGCCAAAATCACACGGGGTGTTTGCAGAGGCCTTTCCAGGGTTGCCAAAGCCCCAGAGGGTGGCTGTGCCCCTGTCCCTGGTGAGCGGTGAAGTCACAAGTCCTCGGTCTGTTCTCACCTCCCTTCATCAGCCATGGGAGGAACAGAGCTGGCTGTCCTCAGGGCCTCTGACCCTTTCTGGGGGCACACCTGCAGCCTTTGCTGTGTCCCCTGCAGGTTACTGGGCTGGTCCACGCTTGGGCATGGACCAGAGACGATGTGATCCTCCACGTCCTCCCTCTGCACCATGTCCATGGCGTGGTCAACAAGCTGCTCTGTCCACTCTGGGTGGGAGCCACCTGCGTCATGCTGCCTGAATTCAGTGCTCAGCAGGTGAGTCAGTGGGCCCTGGGAGGCCGAGGCAGACTTGCGTGCTGTGGTTCCCGCCCAGGGGCAGGCTGCCCAGACCTGGGGGTTTGGGACAGCCTGTGTTCATGCCGCTACGCCTCTGGGTGCGGAGTCTGAGATGGGTCTGACGGAGCCGGACGGTGTGGGCCGGGGGTTCTGTCTGGAGGCTCCCTGGGAGGCCCATGCTGCGGGCGGCTTCTGGAGGCGGCCTGTGCTCCTGGGCCTTGCTCCTCAGCAGTCTCACGGCCTCCTCTGCTCCTCTCATGAGGCCTGGTGGGTAATCCAGCACCCTCTGCCCATCCTCAGACCCTTGGCTCAGCCCACCTGCAGCCCCCCACCAGGTGGGGTGACAGGTTTGGAGCGCAGGGAGGAGGGTGGCAGCCACTGTGTTGCTCGCGGTTCTTGTGGGGGAAGTCCAGCTGGAGGTCCCTCGGTCCCCCAGCATCGTGGTCCTCCCTGGGGCTTCTGGGAGTGTGGGCCCTGGGGCTGAGGTGGCAGTGGTGAGTCCCCGTGCAGGGCAGTGTCTCCAGGGCAGAACAGACACTGCTTGGGAGGGGACAAAGAGAAAGGGCCTTCCTTCCTACAAGAGGCTGGGTTTGGGTCCCTTCTTTCTTCGGTTACCATCTCCATGGAGAGTGGTGCGGTCAGTGCCCTCCCTTGAGCTCGGGCAGGCCTGGCCTGTTCTCCTTGCCCCTGGCTTCCAGGCCTCTGTCCTGTGCTAGAGGCCAGGCGCTCCCTGTGGCGGACCTGCTGTGGTCACATGGGCAGCAGCCCACATCGCCCCACTGTGTGCAGAGTGTGTGGCCTGCACTCCAGAGGCACAGCTGCCCATCCCTCCTCTGGACCAGAGCCCGGGGGCCTTGGAAGTCAGGCGCACACTCCTCAGCTCAGCACGGGTGGCCTCCACTGCCTCTTCTGGGCCCCTGGCATGGAGACTCTGTTCTGGAGTCTATTCTGGGATCTCTGCCCGGGGTCCCTCTGGGGTCTCTGCCCTGGAATCTGGTGACACTCTAGGCCAACTCGTCACATTAGTTCTCGTCTTGCTTTGTTATTTGGCAGTGCTGGGGATGAACCCAGAGCCTCACATGCTAGGCAAGTGCTCTTCCACTGAGTATATTCCCAGCCATTTCTATTTTTATTATTTTCTTTTCTTGGTGGTTCTGGGGATTGACCCCAAGGCCTCCTGGACTCTAAGAAAGTGCTCTACCACTAAATGACATCCCCAGCCCCGTATTTTTATTTTGAGACAGAGTTTTGAAAAGTTGCCCAGGCTGGCCTTGAACTTGCAATCCTCCTGCCTCAGCCTCCTGAGCAGCTGGGCTCACAGGCTGTGCCACTGCACCCAGCTCATTAGCTTATAAAGAGGGTAAAATCTTACATGTTTGCAACTCTTGACACTTCCTTGGGATTTTCTGAGAACTGTCCAGTCAGAACTCAATATGGAAACAAATCTGACGCTATGACTGCAGAAGACTGCCACCCTCCGTAGTCCTGTAGATGCCCCTGAATTGGAACCTGTGCCAGTGAGACCAGCTTTCAGTGTCGTGGGGTTCAGTTGAAGTTGCGTGTGGAGTAGAAGTGCCGAATGGCAGCTGTGGTGGGGTTTCAGTGGTCTGAGGCCTTGCTCTGCTGTGTCCCTGGGGGACTCCAGGCTGCCAGGGTCCATGACGTGCCTGGGAGGGTGTGGGGAGGTGGTGGACGGTACTGTCACCTCTGGAGAGCAGTCTATATGTTCGACCCTGCAGGGCTTCCGTCGGTTGCTCATGCCAGATAGTGCTTCTCTGGCCACTTCTTGGGTTGTGATGGTGATTTTGAAGGGGTGGTTGACAGGGACGGGCGGCGCTGCAGACTCCAGCTCCGGAGAGTTCCAGTGCACAGCCCACTTGGGCTGCTGCTGAAGCAGGGCCGGGGGCCGGCTGCCTCCGCCAAGTTGAACAGAGCAGAGCACTGTCGCTGCTGCTTCCGGTGACCCCCGGACGATGTGCGCGTGGGAGCCCGGGCTCAGGAGCAGCTGCCCTTTGCTGATCCCCAAGTGCCCAGAAGGCAGAGCCTCCCCAGCCGAGGCCCTGCTGAGCAGACAGGCCCTGCTGCATGCCGGTGCCAAGGCTGTGCAGCCCACGAGTGGGAAGGGGTGGCGCGCAGCCAGGGGGCCGGGGCAGGGCCCACAGTGCGAGGGGTGGCTGTGTCCAACACTGAGGTGTGCTCACACCAAGTGTCTGCCACATGTCCACAGCACCAAGCTCTCGTGCACCCAAAGTTCACCAGCAGAAAACTCCCTGGGCACCAGGAAAGGGGCTCAGGCTGCCCCTGCCTCTTGTCCATGGGGTCAGGGTGTCACTGCACCCAGGCAACCCTGATAGTGTCCAGTATGACCACCAGCTGACTCTCCGGCTCGGGGAGGCAGCAGGGGACCCGCACCTCCCTGGACACCCGCTGCTCCTCACATGCAGCCTGCGCAGGGCCGTGCTGTGCCACAGGCCAAGCTTCTTCACAAAGTCAGGAGGAAGCGGGGGCCTCATCAGGACAGGACCTGAGCCGCCTAACCAGAGCAGGGCCCCTCCAGGCAGATCACGGGTCTGGCACCAGTTCTCTCCTGCCGAGGAGTGTAGCCTGCAGTGAGTTGGCTGCACTGGATTCTCCCTCCCGCCTGGGCGACGGTGAGCAGCTGAGGTGGGAAGGCCGTGCCTCCCGGTGCAGACGCCACGGCTGGGACTGCTGGGCGTCCCCCTCACTGCCCGTTGGCGGCAGCCTTGCCTGTGAGGATCAAGGGTGCATCGCCCGGCTCCTGTGCCCTTAGAGGGGCTGAGGTCATGGGCTGTTTCCCGTGGCAGGTGCGTCCCCTACACTGGAGTCTTGTTTTGTAAAGTGATTCTTGAGGCTCGCGTTTTAACTTGGACGACTTTAGTCTTTTGGTTTCTCAGATGGTGCTTTTGATGCCACGTGTGAGAGATCTGCCAAACCAAGGCCACGCAGGTTTCTCAGGTGTCCCTAGGGGCCTTGCAGTCTCTGCGCAGGAGCTCAGGCCGCTCGCCCACGCCTGTCGCCTGTGTGTGGGTGGGAGAAGGCCTCAGGCTCCTCTGCTCTGTGGCCGCCCAGTGGGCAGCTGTCCTCTCCCAGTGCTGGCGCGGCTCCTTGCCCGGGCACCTGCAGCATCGCACGGTGGTGGCCTCTGCTCTGGAGCCGGCTGTGGGGTCGGGTGCCCTCCACCTCCACTCTCCTTTCCAGGTCGATTGGCTCTTCTGGCCCCTCCCCTTCTGCGTAAAACGAGGGTCTGCTGTGGCTGCTGCGCGAACGAGCGGCTGCAGCTCGGCGTGGGGGGCCGTCCTAGCAGCCTGGGGTCTTGCGTCCACACACCTGGAGTCCACACCTTTCCGCTCCCTCTCTCCCTCGGTGGCCTCGCGGGCCCTTCCCCGTCACAGCCAGCCCTGGCCCTGCGTCCGTACCTGAGCTCCAGGTGCTGCAGCCGCCCACGTTGGCCTCCTTCACCCTTTCTCGGCGGTGCTGTCTGTTGCTGAGTCTGCCCAGCAAGTCCCCAGTCTGGATGGTGTGCCTTCCGGCTGGACCGTGGCTCTTCCTGCAGTTCTGCGTCTCACTGCAGTCCTCCATTTCCCCCTTTGGTCCACCTTGGCATCTAAACTGCCTGGTGTTCTGATGTCCTCATTTGGTAGCGCTGACCTTGGTCCTCTGAGGCCCACTGCAGCTGATGCTCAGCATCTCACATGCTTTAGGCTTGGGGTACGGGGCCCTGTCTTCAGTGACTGCTGCTGTTTCCCTGCGTGCAGTGCCCCTCCTCTCCAGGCCACTGGGGTGAGGGCGCGTTTACGGGTATGGGGGCGAGGGCGCGGGCTGGGCTGCAGATTTGCTGCAATGTGCCTAATTCCAAGGCTGTGGCGAAGCCGTGTGGGCCTCCCCGGGGGCAGGGCCAGGGCTCTGGAGCTTCCCCTGCTCCCATCCAGCTGGTGGTGTTAGGGAAAAGCCGGAGTGGGGAAAGACCCGCCATCTTCACACAGAAGCACATACAAGTGTCCTGGGCTAGGCACAGAGTTTGCGAGAGACTTGGGGTAAACAAAAGCCTTCTCTGACTGTGCTAGCCAATGCTGACCTCAGGCCACGGTAGTCTCCTGGACTGCTGGTGGCCTCGTCAAGACTGACCTGCTCCTGGCTGCAGACCTGGAACCCCAGCCCTGGGCCCCTGCTCCACTCACAGCTTATTTTTCCTCCCCGTGGGCTGGGCACGAGCGTGCCTTTCAGAGAGCCCTGAGGGGCCTGGGTCTGGTCTGGGAACGGCTGTGGTGAGCACTGCCGCAAGAGCCCACATCCAGCGTACATCCTGGGTTGTCCCCCAGCCACCTCCAGGGCGCTTTCTGTCTCTCCCCAGGTCTGGGAGAAGTTCTTGAGCTCTGAGACTCCCCGGATTAACATGTTTATGGCGGTGCCCACGATATACGCGAAGCTGCTGGGATACTATGACCAGCACTTCACCCAGCCTCACGTCCGGGACTTTGTGCGTGCCGTTTGTGAAGAAAACATCAGGTGGGTGGAGGCCCCCGTCCCGCAGGAAGGTCCCGTGGCAGCTGACAGGCCTGCTGTGCTGCTGCGTGGCCGCCCGCCCGTGCCTTGGTCCCTGCACGGCTCTCCATGTCCTGTCTCCATCTCTTCTCCTCCCTGCCACGCACATCTGTGCCCATCGGCCTTCTCGGTCTGTCTCCATCCGCTCTGCCTTCTCTAGAGCTAGGCTTAGGTTTTCTCTTCTGTGGTAGTTTTTGGAAGACCTGTCTATATTCTAAAATATACCCAACAAATTTTAAAATGCCAACAATGGGGTCTTAGCCCAGACTTGTTTCCGTCATGAGTCTTGCACTACAGTGATGCCCGGAAGCCCAGGGCCACCTGTCATCCCAGCAGCTCAGAGGCGGAGGCAGCAGGGTCACAAGCCTAATGAGACCCTGTCTCAAAAAAAATAGGAAGCGCTGGGGTGCAGCTCAGTGGTAGAGCACCCTGGTTCAGTCCCAGCGTCCCTCACAGATACACCTAGATGTGTACACAGGTGCATGCAGGTCCCTGCATGTGCGTGTGCGGAGCGTGCTGTGTATGGATACGCTACATACATGTGCACACACATGCACCTCTGTGGTGATGCTGGGTGGCGACACCCTGGGTCACCTGTGCCCGTGCGTGAGGACAGAGCTGAGCCCGTGGTTGTGCCCTAGGCTGATGGTATCAGGCTCGGCTGCCCTGCCCACCCCTCTGCTAGAGCAGTGGAAGCACGCCACTGGCCACACGCTGCTGGAGCGCTACGGCATGACTGAGATCGGCATGGCCCTGTCCAACCCGCTGGCCGAAACTCGCCTGCCAGGTAGGAGTAGCCCCTGAGCGCCTGCACTTGGAAAAGGGGCCTAGAGGGTGCTGCCCTCTGCCATGACCATGGCGGACACCCTGGGTGCTCACCACTGCCGCCCCTGCCCCTGCTCTCCCATGTGGTTGAGGATGAGGCAGGAGGGCCCTTTTCACCCCGGGCCCTGTGGGTCACCAAGGGGCACAGGGACAAGAGGCCTGGAGCCCCCAGGTGTGGCAGGAGCCCTCGGCACACCTGGAGCCCAGGTCTCTCCTTTCCCCATGGTCAATGTCTCCCCCAGTGCCTGGCTGGCAGCCTCTGCAGGTGACGGGGGTCGTCACCTGTGCTAGCAGGTCACTTCCCTCCCTCTGCCTAGGGTCTTCTTGGCTGGGGACAGTTGTGGGCACAGCCAAGATGTTGTGAACAGGGTGCTGGTTTCCTCGGGCACCCAGGCTGGGCTGCAGGGCTGCTGGATGCTCCTGTGCGTCCGCCCCACCCGGCCACGTCCTGGGCTCTAGGGTATTCTGTCGGGTCTTCTCTGGTGAGTGGTGGCCTCAAGCGTTGCTACACGTCACGTGATGTCTTTGAGGCTTTGTGGGATCTTGGAGCCGGCCGGCCCTGTCTGTGTCCCTCTCGGTGTTTTGCTCTTCCAGTTCCTCTGCCTTTCAGTGCCGTGTGGTAGCCCCAGTTGCTCAGGGACTGGGGAAGCCAGTGTCTAGTCCAGGTCTCAGACCAGATAGGGGACAGTGGCGGCACAGGCATGAGCAGGCGTGAGCATCATACTGCAGGTCAGCATGCTGGGAGGGTGGGAGGCTGTGTACGGTGAGCAGTGGGACCCGTCACAGGGCCTGGGAGCCACGGGGCCTTTCGGGCTCTGTGGGGGGTGCAGTAGGCTACCCTCAGGGCATCCTGAGCAGAATGGCGGGCTCTGGTAGCTGTGGGCAGGGCTGCCAGTGGGCGGGAGATGGCGAGCAGGCCTGGCTGTCATTGTGAGAGGGAGGCAGTGCGAGCCGTAGAAGCTGATCTCGCATCGGACCCTGGAGGACGCGTGGGCACAGGCAGCTAACAGCTTGGCCAGCTCACACGTGCCATGGCACTGCTGTGTGGCAAGGCCCGTGTGTCTGCGCCAGCCTTGCCCTGTCTGCAGGGGTGGGACGGAGCTGGAGGCCAGGCCCACGGCCCCAGGCTCCCTGGTCCTCAGTCCTCGTGGTGTGTGATGGCCCACAAGAGTGCCAGTCTCTGCCGTCCCGGCTCCGGAACTCGGGTGCCATGTCCTCCCAGCCTGACTACAGGCTAGAGGTGCGTACCCAAGGGCACTGAGGCTGGGGACCTGCCTAGTGGTGCAAGTGGACGTGGACCCATGCCTTTGGGCAGATAGGGCCACCCTGAAGCACAGGAGTAGGACAGGGGCCTCCCCAGCCTTAGTGAGGGGACAGAGATGACAGAGGAGCTGAGGCTGCAGCAGGAGGGGAGGGGGCAAGCAAAGGCCTTGGAGGGATGGCCACAGAAAGGGGTGTTAAGGTGCAGGACAAGAGCCAGGGGCCAGGTGGACTTCCAGTGGTGGGGTGAGGAGGGCGCCTGGGCTCATGCTGACGGGAAAGAGGTCCAGAGATGGGGAAGGGTCCAGAGATGTTGAGACTCGGGGCTGCCTGGGAAGAAGCTGCAGTGCAGGAACCCCGGGTCCTGAGCACCTGGACACAGCCTTGTCTCGCTCCACGACAGCCGCTCGCCCACAGTGCACCTGCTGCTCCTGGCTGGGAGCGGTGCAGCAGCTACGCCACATCTGGAGCATCTCCTGGCAGGCGTGGGGAAGTGGGGTGGGTGGGCTGTCCTCTGCCGCGGGACTCTGACTTTGGGGCCAAAGGGTGTATCTCAGCCAAGACCCAGACCTGTATTCCTGCTGCCCAGCCCCTCCACCTGCTTCCTGGGCTGCTGCTCTCCTGTCTGCGGAGCCTCAGTGCATTATCCTGCAGTGGGCTGGGCCCACAGCACCACCAGAATTCACTCCAGCTCCCTGGAGCCTGTCAGGGCATGGAGGGCATCCCCAAGTGAGAGGGCTGGCTGCAGGACCCATGTCCTGTGTCCAGCTCCAGCTTCCGCCTCGTTGGGCTGCTTTGAGGGGAGAGGCCTTGCCCAGCATAGCGTCCTGCCTTGACAGGGCTCCAGCCCTCGTCGCCTGTGTCCCCTCTGGTGGGACTAGGCACGCCAAGGCAGCACGTGCCTGGACCCCAAGATGAGGTGAAGGCTGACGGAGGGGCTTGGGCAGAGCGGACGGCTGTCCTGCAGGGCAGGGACTGTGACTGGGACAGTGGTGGTGCCACCTCTGTCGTCCAGGGTGCGGTGATGGGTAGCTGGTGCGGTTGCTGCTCTCATAGGCTCCCATGGGTCTGTCACTGCCCCTGCTTCTCGCAGGTGACAGACACCTCCCAGAGCTCAGCCACTGCCAATAGTCAGGCCTGTGTGGGCAGCTCACCTGTTCCTCCCTGCGGGCAGCGCTGTGGCCAGGTTCTGGTCAACCCACAGGTTCCCACGGGCTCCCAGAGCCTGAGAAGGCAGCTTCTGGCCTGGTGGGCTGGAGCCCAGGCCACGTTCCAGGAGACAGAGCTGTAAGAGGGCCCGGGGTCCAGAGGTGTTGCACCACTGCTAAGACAGGTGCTCAGGGGACGGAGAGCCAAGCCGGCTGGTGGCTCATGCCCTTATTTCAGGAGCCCGAGAGGCTGAGGCAGCACGACGGCAAGTCTGAGGCCACCTGAGCAACTTAGCAAGACCCTGTCTCAAAATAAAGAGGGCTGGGATGCAGCTCCGTGTGCAGCACCCTGGGGTCAATCCCAGCACCATAAAAAGGAGGACAAGAGATCAGAGTGGCCTGTGTGTGAGGGAGGGTGGGTGGTCCCGTGGGTGATCCCACCCAGGGCCCTGAGCTCATGCCTGGTAGACGATGGTGATATTAGCATCGGGTCCTTGTCCCCCCCAGGTTGAAGAGCACCTGAGAAACGGTGAGACAAGAATAGAAAGTAAATTTTATTTAAGAAACAGAACAGGGCTGGGGTGCCGCTGTGGTGGAGCACTTGCCTGGTATGTGCGATGCACTGGGTCTGACTCAGCACCACGCGAAATACGTAAATAAAACAGGTACTTAAAAAATCTTTTAAAAAGAAAGAAAGGAAAAGAAACGAACAGAGAGTCTCCTCTGGAGAGGAGGGGACCCAGAGCTGTTACTCCGGTGGAGGGTTGCTTTGCCCCTTACAGATGACGTTAGGTTCCTTTTCTTGTGCCTCTGGACCAAAAGGCAGAAAAGAACCGAGCAGGGGTGAGTGCCCGCGTTGGCAGCTGGTTGGTGGGGAAGTGCCACCTACCCAGTTCCTTTTGGTAGTCAGCTACCTGTCCTTTGCCTCGGTCTCAATGGCTTTGGCCTGCTGAGGCCATGGAGCTCCTGCCTGGGCAGGTCCGTCTGACCATCTGACTGTCTCTGGCATGGTGGGTCAGCTGAGGGGCTGGACCTCAGAGCTGGGCTGGCTGCCCTGCCATACCCACCAGCCTCTCCAGCAGGTGGGTCCGCCCTGCGGTGGTGCACGGCACCCTCTGTGGGTTTCCCCACTGCGCGGCAGAGGCTGCAGTCACCCAGGAACAGGGACCTGGCGCGCAGCAGAGGGGCTGCAGCAGTGCCTCCAGCGGGCTGGCGCTCATGCAGCCCTTGGTCTTGTCACCGGTGACGCCAGGGAAGCGGCCGGTGTTCACCTGGAGGTCTCAGCCCCCTAGCACCTCCTTGCCCTCTCTCTGTAGCAGGGCTGCGCATGGACTGCTGGGAGGGGTCCCTTGCTTCACCCAAAACAAGGGCAGTGTGGACAGACCTGCCAGGAGTCGGGATCTGGGGGGCTGGGGGCCCTTGAGTGGCCATCCTGGGGCTCTTCGTCCCATGGCACACCCCACGATTCTGGCCGAGAAGATAAAGGCCCTGGAGCCACTCAGTGTACTCGGAGTGGCGAGTCTGGACAGTGGCTTCACGCCTGTGCTAGTGCCACTGCTGTCCCCTGCTCCACTCCCCCACCATGTGCCAGCTCTGGCACGTGTGGGCAGGTGTCTCTAAGGCCGGCCTTTGCTGGCTCAGCTGGCAGCCGAGATGCTTTTGGAGCGCCCTCCTGGGCTGGGTGGGGCCTCCGGGAAGCGTCTCTGCAGCGGGACTCGGCCGCCCCTCCACAGGCACGACCTGGCTTCAGCGCGGGCAGTGCCAAGCAAGCCCGCCTCCCCTCGAGCCAGGGCAGCACCTGCTGCCTCAGCAGGAACGCCAGCTGGTCCTGCTGTCGCTGGTCCCTGGTCCGTCCCTGCCCCTCGTCAGGATGCTTGTGCCTCTAGCTCAGGGGCCAGGCCTCCCTGGCTGGGCAGGCATATGGAGTGTGGCACAGCAGCCGTGAGGCCACTTGGACAGCCCTGCTGGAGCCTTGTGAGGTCGCCCCTCGAGTCTCAGGCGAGCCATACCCCAGCACTGGCTCCGGCCGTGGGCTCACAGAGCCCCGCTGGCACCCCGGCGAGTGGCTGTCCCCTCTCCCAGGAGCTTCCGCCACCTGCGTCCTCCTGCTTCTCCCTCTGCAGGTTCTGTGGGGACCCCGCTGCCCGGAGTGCAAGTGCGCATCGTCTCTGAGGGCCTGCAGCAGGAGGGCTGCCCCCACGCCGTCCACGCGGAGGGAGATGAGAGCGGGACAAAGGTAGGGCCGGAGGCTGCCCACCTGGCGCCCACAGCGCACGGAGACGTTCCCTCGGGGTGTGCCCTCATGGCGGAGGCACGGCTTGGTGTCACTGCGCTCACTGGCCAGTGTTGGTGGGCCTTACCCACAGCTGCTCTCTGGCCACTTCCAGGACATGGACAGTGCAGCTGGCCCAGGCATACCCTGCTCCCCTGAGGCTCCCTGGGGCCCAAGGGCGTCACCATGGCCTGCTAAGCAGCCCCGGACAGCACAGGGACCCATTCAGAAAGGTGCAACTGCAGGGTACTGTCACTGTCCCAGAGCCCCACAGCCTCGGGTGCCCTTGCTGCCAAATGAGGGTGGCTCAGTTTCCGGTTCACTCTGCAGTTGGCAGGGGCAGCCCGGGAGGGCTGTCATCTCATGTCACCAAGGGCTAAGAGCTAACCACCCACCCATCGCAAGGACCTCAGGTCAAGAAAGCTGGGACCCCCAGGACGTGGAATTCCAGGCTGGTGACAGGCTGGGTGTGGCGCCCACTGACCTGTCGCCTGAGCAGGGTTCCTGTCCCTGTGCCCGGGGCTGGCAGCCTCGGCTCTGCGTGACTGCTCGCCTGCAGAGGCAGCCAGGTAGGTGCGTGTGGGCGTGGCCTCAGTGTGGCAGCCTGTCCTTGGTGGGCTTGGCCACACCTTGGTTTCTGAGCTTGCTGGGGACGGTCACTGGCGCACTGTCCCGCAAGTGGGTGAGAGCTGGTGGCCCAAGAGTGCGCTGCGCATCAGGAAGACTGGAGCCAGCAGTGCCTCTCGCCTGCCTGGGGCTGCCTGGGGGCCTCGCTGAGCTCTGTCCTCTGTGTCCTCCCTCCTGGCCTCTCAGGGGCTCCTGGCTCCGTGGTCCACCCAGTCCTGAAACCCGCCTGTTTCCACTGCTCTGGGCCGCCTGCCTTTCGCCTTCTGGCCTCGGGTTGGAGCCCGACTGCCCTCTGCTGGGCCTCGGCTGTGCTGAGCCAGGGATGTTGGCCACGCCTGGGTCTAGTGTGTAAACTCCCCAGTGCCCGCCTCCCCTGGCACCTGCTCACACCCAGGGCTCAGGCCACCTTGCTTGGCTGGTCCCGCCCCCTGCAGCCAGGGGCTGGGCTTGGACACTGGCTCAGGGCACGTCTCTCAGGAATGGCCCAGCAGGGCAGTGGTGGTGAGGTAGGTACCTGCACCGTCCGGCCTCCCAGGTGTCCTCAGTGCTGGGCTCAGCCTCAGGGACGCCTATTGTGCAGGAAGTGGCAGAAACATTGCCAAAGAAAGGGGTGGGGCAAGGGCAGGGAGCATTTCTGACGTAAATTGGATTTCAGCTGCCGTGGGCCGTGATAGCAGCCGCTCCCCAGCAGCTCCCAGGCCTGGCTCTGCCGGCTCTGCCTGCGGCCTTCCCTGAGCTGCTGCAGGCAGAAAGGAGCACAGCCCTGCCCCCAGGATGCTGGACAGCCAGAGGTCACACGGCCACAGACAGGCCTGCGAGGTGCCTGCGAGGGGACAGGGGGCGTTCGATGGCGAGGGAGCTGAGCAGACACTGAGGGACAGGCCGCAATCCAGAGGCAGCATCTTCTAGAACATTCTAGGTCAGGGCCACCTCTGCTGGAGGCTGAGCCCTTCGTGGGGAGCACAGCCAGACGGCGGCTTCCTCCTTGCCTGCAGGAGACACTCCTGCACGGGGCCCAAGCTGCTCTGGGGTTCCTGCCTTGGCTGTGCAGCGCGTGCCTCAGGCAGGACAGGGTGGGGTGGCACTGCCCAGGCTGAGGGCCTCTCTGCCGCGTCCCATGGGAAGGCATGCCTGCCCCCTCTCGCTCAGCCGCCTTACCCAGCCAGACGTGGCGCCCCACTCACCACACCCAGGCCAGGGCTCCCCCGCTCAACTGTGGAGCTGGATCAGCACTGGCAGGACTTGTGCCCTTTGCCTGGTGAGCTGTGTGGCTTGTGGCCTCCCTTCCCCAGGACTTCCCTCCCTGTGGCCTCCCCTGTGGGCTCCCTTCCCCGTGGCCTCCCTTCCCTGAGGCTGGTCCCACTGGAATCGGCTGCCTCTGGCTGTCTTCAGGACGGCTCTGGAGCCTGCCTCGCGGCTCTGGGCAGGTGGTCACAGCCCCCGAATGGCAGGAGGGTGCTGTGCTTTTCAGTGCAAAAGCCTCGCAGGGTGTGTCCCGCTGCCTGCCTCAGCCAGGCCTACGCAGGCTGCGCGTCCTCCTCGCCTCCCAGGTGGGCCGCCGGCCTCTGCCTTCTGTTCTGTCATGGGGAGCCTGGCCTGGGGTCAAGTACGGGCTTGGGCTTCTTCCACGTGTGTGCACAGGACACGCATGTTCTCTGGTCTTGAGCCGAGTGTGTGTTTTCACCCGACTTAAGACCCGAATGCTGTTGCTTGGGAGCTGAGTCTCCGAGAACAGATTTACTGTCAGGGCTTGTCTTCACTCCTCCTTGATGCGCAGCGCCCACTGCACCCGGCCTTCGTGCGCATGGCAGGGAGGAGAGGCCTGAGGAGCCGTTGCAGGCAGACAGCAGTCACAAACAGGTGGCCTGCGTCTGCCAGGTCCACAGACAGGACGGTGGACAATGGTGGGCCTGCCCAGGGACGCTGGCCAGTGGGGCATGCACAGCCTACCCCGCCCTTTAAAGGTCACTCCGCCTTTGTGAGTGGTCGTGGCAAGTGGGGGCTGTGTGGTCTTTGTGCTCAGGCCCCAGGGCCCTTCCTAGGACGCCAGGCCCTGATGACCTCTGCCCTCTGCTCTTGACCTGACCCACACATGCCACCCACCTGTGCCAGCAGTGGCCACTGTGGAGACAGGACATGGCCCCGGGCCATGCCAAGGAGCAGCCTCACCATGGTGCTGATGCCCAGAGGGTCGAGGCCACTGGGGCTCTGTGTGGAGCCCACCAGGAAGGAGCAGCACGGCCTGTGGTGCCCGGGAGCAGCCCTCGTGGAGAGCTGCAGCTCTGCCCGCCGTTCAGACCTCCTGGTGCCTAGAGCACCCAGCACTCGGGGCTCCAGAGTCCCCGCCGGTTTCAAATCAAGGCCCCTCACAGATTCTGCAAGTGCCTATTGATTGCAGCAGTGCTCGGCAGTGGACATCAGGCAGTGGACACTGGGGCAGCAGGTACTTGGGCAGTGAGCACTCAGGAAGTGGGCTTGGGCCGTGGGCACTTGGGCAGTGGGCATCGGGTGTAGGTGCCAACCACACACCAAGTCCCTCATCTCTGGAGCATGGCTTGCTGCACACCACAGGGTCTGAAGTGAGAGGAGTGGGCTCTCGGGTCCCTCAGGGGACCAGCACAGGGATCAGCACGGAGGCTCGCAGCACTCCAGGTTCCCACAGCTGCCTGTGTCTGCTCTCATCCTGGAGCTGTGGTGGCCCTGGCCGTGGCTGGTGGCCAGCAGCTTGGGCCACATGTCCCCGTCACAGGGCTTCGAGTGTCTGCCACTGTGACCAGAGTGTCCCGAGTTGTGCAGCTCTGGCGGGCAGTCAGGTGCTGGAGTGATTGGCACCTGTCCCCTCCCACCTGGGTATGGGGCTCCCTCCTCCCCCTTTGCTGGCCCCCAGATGACACCCGCTGTGAGCCCTGCAGGCACCAGGCATCTCTCTCTAGTCGTTTACTTCTTATTTTTTCAGATTGCTCACTTACTGAGAGCCAAACACCAGCCAGGGACAACGGGGGCCTGTCAGCAGATGAGTGGCCACACAGCTGCCTGTGCGGCCACCCTGGCCCTGGGCCTTGGTGCGAGCCGGCTTCTCTTGCTGGGGATGTGGAGGGCTGGGTGGTAGCTGAAGCCGCAGGCCACCTTCTCACATCCCCCTTAGAGACACGGGTCTTCTCCTCTCTCCCGAGTGCAGGCTGCCCCTCTGGCCAGCAGGCGGCTCTGTCGTGGCCCTGCCCCTCACAGGCCCCCGCTTCCCTCCGCACCCCCATCACTGCCGCCTATCACTGGCGCACCACCGACTGCGCCCCCGGCCCACGGTGCTGAGGTTGGGGACCAGGCAGGGCATTGCTGAGCAGTGTACCCTTCCATGGGTGTGAGGCCTGGCCCCCTCTATAAAGGGCTGGGCGGGAGATGGCCTGACCCTGGGTGGGGAACCGTCCATCAGGACGTGAGTCACAGGCCACCTGGCTGGCTGAGTGTCTGCAGAGGTTAGCTTCTTGGTGCCTCGCTGCCCCCTGCACAGGGCCCGTGTCCCCACATGTTCTTTAAAGGGATGTGGGGGAAACTCTAGGTGTTCTGGGGTCCCTAGCCCTGGCCATTTCTTCCAGGAGCTCAGGGTACCCTTCCTTGCCCTGCAGAAGACCAAAGCATATAGATTATTACGGCCCTGGGTCTTTTCTGTTTCTTAGAAAAGCTCTTTATGGAGCTATAATCACACACCAAACACTGTCCCTGCGCACACCGTACAATCCACTGGCTTCGGTGGACTCACAGTTGTGCGCAGACCACCACTGGGTGCTCCATTCCACCTCCCAGAAGCTCCGTGACCACCTGTAGTCATTCCCAAGCCCACCCTCACGCCCCCTCCCCTCAGCCTTGGCCCCAAACAGACATCGTCTCCTTTCTGTCCATGTACATTTGGCCATTCTGGGCTTTTTTAAAATATATATAATTGCATTTGACAAACTTAACATCCCTTCATGATAAATACCTTAAACAAATTAGGTATTGAACAGACATACCTCAACATGATAACAGGCCCCCAACTGACATGCCAATGCTAATCCATAATCCAGTCACCCCAAAGACCCATCTCTGGACATTCTACACTGGGGACCGAGTCTCCAATATGTGAGCATTGGGGATCGTCCAGACCCAAACGTGACAATATCTGTGATGCATTTTGAATGGATTTTTGCATAACAAAAGTTTAAGTGGAGTTTATTTTTTCATGTGTGGTTATCCAGTTGTTCAGCTATAATTTATTGAAAAGATACCCTTTCATTGAGCCATCTTTCCAACTTTATCAAAAATCAAGGACATATTTGAATGACTCTGTGTGTGGATTTGTG